TACCTAGCATCCAAAATGGGCCGCGTGGAGACTCCTGGGATGGGCAGGGAGGGGTGGGCCCGTCCTTGCAACTACTGGCTTTTGGGAACCCAAGAAAAATTAGCATCTGGTTCGCCCGAACCAATCCGAACTGGCTGAATCCCACCCCTGATTGTATGCCGTATGCTTCCCCCTCTGTTGAGAGAGGGCTGTACAACTTTGATATAGATGGCCTCTTTGACAGAGGGGGAGACATCATGTGTCTCCAGTCTAAAACACAGTCCTTTCAGCAGTTCCAAGAAGGCTCCACACCCACTTGCAGCACTCAGGTAACCCTGAGGGCATAAATAAACCTCCAGGTGGCCTTAACGATTCTCTAAAGGAATGCAAATGACCAGCTGTCTGCAAGCAGCATCAATCATTCCATTCCCCACCCTCCAGTCAGAGCTAAAGAAGCTTCTTGGATGAGAAGCAAAACACCTTCAAAGAAAAACAAGAAAAGTCCAGTTGCCTCTTGAAAAACACGACCTTTGGGACAACCTGGATGACTAGGACTCTCGAGTCAAAAGATCATGAGATACATGCTCCCATTTTGACTCCTGACAAAGACTCTCCATCAGCTCAGATGCAAATCCTGACAGAAATGTGTGAACTGCCCAGAGTGGCTGGGAGTTGATCGGCATGTAAATAAATAAATGAATATTGTTCTTAGTGCATTTACCTGGAATGAATGAACAAAACTAAGGACCTGCAGGGAAAGTTTTCTGCTGGAATGTAACAGTTTTTGAAGGCTGCCAAAAGACAACAGAAAAAGCGACAAGGGTCATGGGCCGTATCTGATAACTGTGAACATTTTATTTTTCGCTTTCTTTTTTCTTCGGCATCATCCAACCAAAGCCTCACCTGTCTCTGCTGCATAATCCATGGCTGGCGATCTTTCGACAGACTTTTCGGTTGAGGTCCGAGCTGAACAGTGGGATTCCGAAGCTCAGTTCCAAGGGAACCCACTCCAGTTCTGTGGTAGGGACTGAAAAGATACCAAGGAAGGGCAGAGTGGAAGGGACTTCAGCTGCCAATTTTTATGACTTTTTAAACACCTCTGTGAATTTAGGAACCTTCAAAAATTACATTGTTAGTAATAGCAACAGCACTTAGACTTCTATACCGCTTTACAGCCGTCTCTAAACACTTTTACAGAGTCAGCCTATTGCCCCCAACAATTTGGGTCCTCATTTTACCCACCTCAGAAGGATGGAAGGCTGACTCAGCCTTGAGCCTAGGGGGATTTGAACTGCCATTCGCAGACAGTCAGCAGAAGTAGCCTAACCACTGCGCCCCTGAAGCTAATGAATGACGACTGTACAACAACAGTAATAATAATAATAATAATAATAATAATAATAACAATAATAATAATAATGCAATGATCTCTTCCTCTTGTACAAGTAGTCCTTGACTTACGAGAGTTCACTTAGTGGCCATTCAAAGTTACACTGAAAAAGGGACATGACCATTTTTCAGACTTATGACCGTTGCAGCATCCCCGTGGTCACGTGATTTACATTTGGATGCTTGACAACCGATTCATATTTAACGACGGTTGCAATATTCCCGGGAGTCATGGGATCCCCTTTTGAGAAACCTCTGACAAGCAAAGTCAAGGGGGAAACCAGATTCACTTAACAATTGGGTTACTAATTTAACAACTGTGGTGATTCACTTAACAAATGTGGCGAGAGAAGTCGTAAAATGGGGCAAAACTCGCTTGACAAATTTCTCGCTGAGCCACATAAAAATGTTGGGCTCAATTGTGGTCGTAAATCGAGGACTACCTGTACCTTCAAGAGGTTGAACTGCTTAGGCCAAGCAATAAACTCCACTCAAATGAACAGTGGAAAAACAGCCGTCAAGACCCTTGTCTATTTTCCTTCTGGTTGATGGTTCATCCATAACCATCAGTCCAACCATTTGGGCAACTGAGCAAATCTGGAAAGGAACGCATTTTCTGATTATTTCCCCAAAACCAGCATCTGGGAATCACCCTTCAAAGCAGATTTATAATTCACTCTCTGCATTCAGAAAATTCATCATAGACAATAAAAATAATTTATCCTCTGCGCTTTTTTGTTAGGGAGGTAGTCCTCGGCTTACGACCACAATCGAGCCCAACATTTCTGTGGCTGAGACATTTGTTAATTGGGTTTTGGCCCATTGAACGACCTTTCTTGCCAGTATTATGAAATGAATCACTGCGGCTGTTAAATTAGTAGCATGGTTGTTAAGTGAATCTGCTTTCCCGTTGATTTAGCTGGTAAGGAGGTCGTAAAAGGGGATTACAGGACCCTGGGATGCTGCAACCGTCATAAGTACGAGTCAGTTGGCAGGTGTCTCAATTTTGATCACATGATCATGGGGATGCTGCAAAAGTCGTAAGTGTGAAAAACAAACCTGGTGACTTTGAATGGTCACTAAAAGAACTGTTGTAAGTAGAGGACTAACTGTTCAATGTAGCCCTTCCTCCTTCTGCCAGTTGTTCTACCACAAAGCCCAACCAATCTATGACTGGAACTTCTGCTTCTTGTTATAGGTCGGGGTCCCCAATTCCTGGTCCGGCAACGGCCTGCGGCATGCAAGCAACCACGTTGTGCAAACAAGCGAAGTCCCATCTGTGGGGTGCAGGCAACATGCAAAACCACACCCTCTTTGTGGTCCATGGAAAAACCTCTCTCCACGGAACTGGTCCCTGGTGCCCCAGAAGTTGAGGGCCACTGTTATGAGTTACCCAGAGATTGCAGAGAACATCATGGACTACAGTGTAATGCAGGGGTCCACAAACCTGGCAAGTTTAAGACTAGTGGACTTCAACTCCCAGAATTCTGGGAGTTGAAGTCCACAAGTCTTAAAGTTGCCAAGTTTGAAGACCTCTGGTGTCATGCCGTTTAAGGTTCTCCATGTCCTAATAATACAATCTTCTCCATTTCCACGAGGTTACCTTCTGGGCCTTGTTTAGCAGCAGGATCTACGTAAGGCTCTTCAATGACCATTTCAAAGGACTCTGTGCTTCCGTTTACATCTGAGCCCAGGGCAAGCTCTGGCTCACCTGAAGAGGAAAATCAATACTTAAAATTATACGCATATACCTTGTTTCCCCGAAAATGGGCATCCAACAACTGAAAGATGCTGTGATTGACCACTTACCACGGAGAGCACTTGCCTATAAAGTTGGCAAGAGTTGGACACGATTGAATGGTTAAAACAGGGGTGTCAAACTCAAAGCCGGTGAGCCACACCCAGCCTGTGGGGTGCTTAGATCTGGCCCATAAGGACAGTCCTGGAAGCCTCTGCCAGTGAAAACAGAGCTTGGGAGGGTGGTGCCCAGCCCTCCTGGACTTCGTTTTTGCCCGTGCTGGCCCCTCTGGGCTCTGTTTTCACTGGCAGAGGCTTCCAGGACTGTCCTTATGGGCC